TACCCAGTAGCCCCCTTTCCTCCATGTTGCCTAGTTCTGTTTCCTTGCTTCAGTCTTTAACACCTCCCCGCCCCCACTTTATGGTGGCCCCTTTATGTTGTATGGCAAACACCCAACCTCTATACACACACACACAAACACGCACACATACAAATACACACATACACACAAACACACACATACAAACATACATACATACAAATACACACATACACACCCATACACACAAACACATACAAATACACGTATACACATACAAACACACATATACACATACAAACATATATACACAAACACACATACAGACAAACATACACAAACACACACACCACTCTAAAAATGGGGAAGCTAAGACACACATATTAAGAGAAAATATACAATATTTGTCTTTCTGAACCTGGGTTGCTTTCCATAGTAGAGTATTTTCTGGTAGACTTTATTTTGCTTTATATCAGAATAGAATTTCATTGTGAATGTGGAGCCACATCTGCATTTTCCACGTGTCTGTTTGCTGATAGACGTCTAGACCAACTCCTTTCCTTTATATTGTGAGTAAAGCAGCAGTGAACATGGATGTGTTTGGTGTGAATAGAGCAGCAGTGAACATGGATGTGTTCGGTGTGAACAGAGCAGCAGTAAATATGAATGTGTTCCGTGTGAACAACGCAGTAGTGAATATGGATGGATGTGTTTGGTGTGAACAGAGCAGCAGTGAACATGGATGTGTTTGGTGTGAATAGAGCAGCAGTGAACATGGATGGATGTGTTTGGTGTGAACAGAGCAGCAGTGAGCATGAATGTGTTCGGTGTGTGTTCAAGACTGATACAGTTGGTGTGAATAGAGCAGCAGTGAACATGGATGTGTTCGGTGTGAACAGAGCAGCAGTAAATATGAATGTGTTCCTTGTGAACAATTCAGTAGTGAATATGGATGGATGTGTTTGGTGTGAACAGAGCAGCAGTGAACATGGATGTGTTTGGTGTGAGTACAGCAGCGGTGAACATGGATGTGTTCAGTGTGAATAGAGCAGCAGTAAATATGGATGGATGTGTTCAGTGTGAATAGAGCAGCAGTAAATATGGATGGTTGTGTTTGGTGTGAACAGAGCAGCAGTGAGCATGAATGTGTTTGGTGTGTGTTCAAGACTGATACAGTTGAGTCAACAGGCAGTTCTGTTTTTAATTTTTTGGTAATCTGATTACCAAAATGGCTCCACCAGTTCACACTTCTACCGACTGTGGATACACTTCTCCCACACATCCTCAGAAGTGTTTATTGTCACTGGTTTTCCTGGTAACAGTCATTCTGACTGTGATAGAATCTCAAAGTAGTTTTAATACATATTTCCCTGATAGTTAATGATATCAAACAGTTTAAAAACATTGGCCAGTTTTGTTTCTACTTTAGATAAATATTCTATTAGCCTATTTACTGACTCACAGTGTGTGTATATGTTAGTTTAATTTTGTAGTTTTGTGTGTGTGTGTGTGTGTGTGTGTGTGTGTGTGTGTGTGTGTGTGTGTATGGAGGTTAGGACAACCTTTGAGCGTTGGTTCCTCCTGCCTTGTTTGGGACAGAAACCCTTCAGGCTGGCCTTCAGCTTCTGGAGGTTCCCCGTCCCCACTCCCATCTCCTGTAGGGGTGTCTGGGATTGCGGACAGCTTTGATGCGGGTTCTGCGGTTCCAGGCGTTACTCACTGAGCCATCTCCCTGACCTTTAGTTCTTGTACTGTGTTCTAGGTATTAACCCCGTGTCTAGAGCATGGCTAGCCAACTCTCTCCCATTCTGTGTTTTCCTCTGCTAGAGTTTCCTTTGCTCCGGACAGCAGTTTTTAAAACTAAATATTCTAACACAACATAGTGCAGAGATACACTACTTCGATGTATGCTGGGGAATGACAGCCGGGAAATACTTACAATTCTGTGTTTTCCAGCTTTGAATGGTTATGTTTCCATAGGTGCAGAATAGCTTATATGACAATAAAGACAACACGGCCCGTAAAATATCATATTCTCTGAGCCAGTGTGCTTCAGGCAGTTTCTTGGCGTGGCAGTGGTGGCTAGTGCAGGGTCCAGTGCATACAGGTGTTCAGGCTGCAGCAAAGCTGAATGGCCACACGCCAGCGAGCACCAGAGACAATGCGGATTCTCCGTGTGCTTGATTCTGAGCGCCATGCAGGATGATATCCGCAGCCCAGGAAGCCCCGTCTGGAGAGGCCTGCTTGTCTTCTGCGGGCCACAGAAACCTGAAAGAGTCTGCTAAAACTGTTATCGTTCCAGGAAGTGGAATTCCACTCCACCCTGTGCCCAGGGGTGTGTTAACACACACACAGAGGTTTTCATACAATTTCAATAGTTTCGATTTGTTTATCTAAAGTTCTAAAACCCTGACTTGACTCCCACATGTAGATTCCAGAGGGAGGGCGGTCAGCCCAGACCTGACTGCATGCCTCTGAGTTCTTGCAGCCAGCTACGCTTTCAGAATCCTATTTCTAAGGCCTAAGTTCTTAAACCCAGCATCTTTTGAGATACAGTTCGCAGTTTGACCCTAACTAGTGAACTTCTAAGCCATTTGGAAGAAGAAACATTAACTTCTGATTTCTTTGCCTGAGCTTGGTTTTGTTTGTGTGACTTAGCATAAACTCGGGAGGATCAGGGCCCCCATCTTCGGGGCAGAAGTCAGCCACCTTCCCATTCTTCTCACCTCTGCCCCAGCCAGGACTCAGTATGTTCTAGCCATTGGCCTTCCCGGTACCCAGAGAGGGGAAAGTCGGAAAGGGGCTCCTGGCAGAGCTGGTCAGACAAGGAGACTGGCAGGAGGATTTGACAATCCCAACACATCCGTTCCCCCATTCTAGAGCCACTCAGCCCTGGAGCTATGGCGGGATGGGGTACCGTAGGCTGGTGGTGTGTTTCCGTAGCTGGAGGTGGGCAGCAGAGGCCTGCCTGCTGCGCTGTACTGGATTTTCTTGGCTCTGGCATGGATTTGAGAGAGGACAATCACCAGGCCCTGTGTATACTCACACCAGCTTCTGACTGTGTTTTTCCTGGGGTCAGATTGACCTCTGTTTTGGTCTTCTGCTGTCTCTGTTGCCTGACGTCCCCAACCCTTGCTGAAGAGACTGGTTCAGGCCAACACGGGCATTGTCTGCTCTTGTGACTGAGAATGTGGTACCCACATTGCTCTTGCTTCCTGGCTACATACTCTTCCTTGGGTTATTATCAGGGCCTTCCTGCTGTTCTTTCTGCCTCCATGGTGGCTCTCTCCCACCCCTGTATCCTGTATTTCATTCAGAAATTTCCATCTGGAGCCCATCAGAGAAACCCACAACTGGTCTAAATGCAGGTAACAAGTGACCGTAGAATACCCATCTAGAACACAGCTGCTACTCCCAAGGGAGCATCAGGCAGGAGGAAGCAGGATTGTAAGAGTCGGAGGACCAGGACAAGTCCGCAGAGAGGCAGTGCCTTCTGCTAGGACAGGGAGCTGTACCCACAACATCATAACACCGTAGTCACCGAAGCAAGACCTCTAAATGACAACACCAGTTGGCATGCCATCTCTCAGGGCCCCACCCCTAGGTGAAGAGCTACAGGCAGCTAGTGACTGATGAGAGAGAATCAGTCTTCTCCGGAGAGAGGCCCCCTGAGAGGTTATCGAATCCTGAATGGTCAGCCCTGAGCACACAGACGTATGACCAGCACTAACTGGACTCAGGAGTTGCCAGGGGAGAGGGAAGGGTGGAGCTGATGTAAATACAGTACGCATGTATGAAATTCTCAAGGAAAACATTCCATCTGTTCTTGTAACTCCCTGTTTAGAACTTCTCAGTGGCATCACCCTTTGGATGAAGCCCCTTTGTATCATGTATAAGATTCTACCAGCTATGGCCATGCAGATCTCTCTAGTGTGATGTATAGAGCTCTATTATTTATGTCCATGTGTGCCTCTCTAACTTCCTTCTTCACCCTGTACCCCGTGCCCAGCCACACCAGCCTGCTGTAGGGATTCCTTCAACCAGTAGCATTTAAGTTACCTGCCGACTTGGGTGTGGCCTCTTATACTATATATGCTGATGTAAAGTGTGGGTCTGGCCTCTCTTCCGGCGGCATGATTGGGTTCCTGTTCCCCATTCATGCAGAGGATTGTGATCTGTGAGTCTACCCCTAAATAAATAACCCTTTATCATACTCAATTCTGAGCTAGTGTGGGATTCTCTTTTTAGCGTCCTTCTCCATCAGCCTCTCGCTGTCCCTAGGATACAGAATCCTCTTGGGTCTTTTCTCCTGTACACTTAGCCCACATCCTCCCCTCCTTCCCACCTTTGCTGTCTCAGGGATATTTCTTCATCCTGTCACCCCCAGATAAACGTGCTCTCTCCTGGGAGGCCTTGTTAAAGCTCCCAGGAATCTGTTGTTCTTTCTCTGTGTTTCTGGAGCTTAGGATCGCACGGTGTTTAAAGCTGTGGATTCTCAAGTCAGACTCCCTTTCAACCCACCCTGGCCCTTCAGATGAAGGAGCACAGGAGGAAGGAGCTGCCTTAAGGGCCTTGTTTTTCTCTCTAGAAGATGAGGCGGATATTGCAAACACCACACATTTCTGTGACGTTTGGAAGCGGCAAGAATTTGAAGTGCCCCCTTCAGCGTTTGGCCATAGTCAGCACTCAGCAAGTTCTAGCATTTTCACGTTGTCATGGTGGTTTGGGCATTTGCAAATTCCTCTTCCAAGACCTGCCCACCTTCAGGGCCGGTGAAGAGTTTGCTCGCCTGTCTGGTCCTGAATGCAGCTGTCAGGAAGTGTTGCCCAGGCCTCGTCTACAGAAACAGGCAGCAGAACCCAGAATGCCTACGCTTGGTTGTGAGTGGTCCGAGACCCACGGTCATTATGACCTGGATGTCTCTGTGCCCCACTCTCTCCTGTGGTTTCCAGGACAACATGGGAAGCCAATTGCCCACAGGCATCCAATTTGTGTCCTTTCTGTGTTGTTGTGAACTCTAGGCGACATGTCTGAGAGTAAAGCCAAGAAGATTGAAATCAAGGATGTGGATGGGCAGACTCTCAGCAAGCTGATTGATTACATCTACACGGCAGAAATCGAGGTGACCGAAGAGAACGTGCAGGTAATCTCTGCCGCTGGCCCACATGCCACACACTCAGTCCCTGCCATTTAACCCTCGTGGCTCCTCAGAGGTCACTACAGCGGAAACCAAGCTGCAGAGAATTAAGCCACTTTACCTGGGTCACATGAACTATGCTTTTCAGCACTGGGTCACATAATAAACACTTTTGCATGAGCCCAGCCCGGGAGTCAGGAGTTTTTAGCTCATGTTGTGTTTAGCTTATGAAGGGGGAGCCAGAAGCTTGGTGACCCCTTCTTCTCTCCAGGTTGTTCTTTCGTCCCAGCGGGGTGTGAGGCTGTTAATGTTTCGTATCTTTTAGCTTTGGTCAGAGGATGGAGTCTCAGGCAGTGTGGTTATGGCATACTGTGTGTGCCTTTCCCCCTTTCTCAGCCCTGCCTGGCATCTGAAGCCTGGGAGTCAGTGAAGACAAAGAGGACCCAAAAGAGGACATCCATATTGTGCTCCAGTTGGGGAGCTAACTGGGAGGCACTCTTGACCTCCACAGATCACGAGGCTAAACAGACAAGGATACATTCTCCTGCTTTTACTGTTTAACAAGAGCAATGGAGTATGTGTGATTCGGAGATTTTTCTTGTTGTTGTTACTTAGTTTTAGTTTTTGGTTGTTGTTTTGTTTTTGCACAGCCACTTTATGTACTTGAGGCTCACACCTCTTTAGTGAGCAAGAGGCCTATTTCCCTTCTTAAAGACACCACGCTTCCAGGCTGGCTCTGTCTGAGAGACTGGATTGGTAATTGCTTGTTCTTTCATCTCAGCCCCAATGTTTCTATTGCCTGCCACACCCCTTGTTGGGCACTGTAGATGGAACGGCACTGGTCCCGTGGTGTCTGCAGGGTAGGGGTAAGGACAGACATCCCTCAGGCAAACACACAAGCCACATCTGTGCACAGTCCCTTGCAGCAAGAGGATGCTAAGGGACACTGGATGAAGGAAGGGATTTGGGCAGGGCCCTTTTTTAGGGTTAAGTTTCAAGTTGAGGCCGTGGAATGAATGTCTGTGTGCCTGCCCTTTGCTTCCCAGCCACTTCCCAGAGCCTTATCAGTCCCCGGCCCTGACACCCTGGAGTCAAGTTCAGTCCCCTCCACAGAGTGGAGGTGTGAGGCACCCATTCTACAGGTTGTCTCCCCCACAGAACGGAGGTGTAGGGCGCCCATCCCAGAGGTTCTGTGTCCTCTACAGAGCAGAGGTGTAGGGCACCCATTCTAGAGGTTCCGTCTCTTCCACAGAGCAGAGGCATAGAGCACCCATTCTAGAGGTTCCGTCTCCTCCACAGAATAGAGGTGTAGGGCACCCATTCTAGAGGTTCCGTCTCCTCCAGAGCAGACATGTAGGGCACCCATTCTGGAGGTTCTGTGTCTTCCACAGAGCAGAGGTGTGGGCACCCATTCTAGAGGTTCCGTCTCCTCCAGAGCAGAGGTGTAGAGAACCCATTTTAGAGGTCTTCATAAACTCACTGTGTTCCGACCCAAGCTACTTGATCTCCCTGAGCCTTGTTTTCCAGTGTTTGTATTTCATCGATATGGGCATGATGACACCATTTAATCCGATGGAGTTGTGTGAGCATGTTGACACGGGCTTCAGAACGAGAGACCTAGCATGCGGTGCATACGAGTACCTAGAACAGAGAACTGTGATGTCATCACTTACATGCAGAAGGCACTGGGTGCTGATGGGGACTGAGGACAGGTAGCCGGGTGGCCAGATAGTCATGGTAAAGAGTCGGGGTGGGGCTAACCCCATCTGATCTAGACGAGTCTGGGAACTCTGCCCAGTAGGAACATAGTTTGGGATACCTCCTGGGGTGTGCCCAGAATGCTTGGCATGGACAGAGGCCTGGGCCAGGCACCAGCTGTTCTTCTGAGAAGGGCCTTTGGGCTAGCTTCTCAGTAGTTAGGGGTAGAAAAGCACCATGTAGAAGGCCCAGGGCTGAAGGCTGTTGAAGACTGCCTCCCTCGTGCTGGGCTGTAGACCTTCATTTATCCGACACTCAGTGCTGGGCTGTAGACCTTCATTCGATTGGCTGTTCAGTGCTGGGATGTACACCTTCATGTATCGGACACTCAGCACCTTTTTTGTTTTCTGAGCTACTGCCCCGTGCGGGCAGACAGCGTCTACAGAGAAGACGCTGTGACAGGCTGCTTCCCCAAGGAACAGCTGCTCTGTGGGCAGACACAGATGGGGGGCCCTGGTGGAGGCGAACAGGAGGAAGTAGTCACTGCTGCCTGATGGGGATAAGCAGGGCAGACCACACTCAGGAAGTGTTTGGGCCAAACTCTGAAGGAAGAGGAGGTAGTCTGGCTTGCCTCTGCTGTCTGTGTTCCCCTCCCCTCCCCCGGGCTGGGAGTGCCCCCCCCATCCCCTGGGGACGTGCTGTCCCTGAGAGTTAAATCTTACTCCCTCTCAGTCCGGTCCTTGGAGATGTGGCTCTCCCATGGAGATGCGGACAGTTCTGTCTGACAGTAATGCTGTTAGAACCCAGTCCCTCGACTTCATCCTCATTGGCACCTAGTGGGGCACCAATACCAGCCCTGTTTGTAGCTGATGACAAAAGGACTTAGCGACCTGGGTCACACAGGAGTAAGTGGCGTGGGGACCTGACTAACCTTTGTGGCTGTGCCGAACTTGAATGAGTGACTGTGACTGGAGCCTTGGTTTCTGACCCCTGTGGTTTAATTATAATCAAACCCGACAGCGGCTGTGCGCTCTCTGTGTAGGGCCGCGCTCGCGCTACGAGCGTGCCACCCGGCTGATTCCCACAAGCTGTCATGGCACGGCTGTGACCAGGCCCACTGTGCTGTTGAGACTGAGAAACGCAGGCTGGCGTCCAGTAAGTACGTGGAGACAGCAGAGTTAAAGATGACACTTTGATGACCGGGCTGTCCTGTCACCCGTCCCTTGCTTGTGCTTTTCTCTTCTCCCTTCCCCTCGCAGGCTCAATGGGCACCATTGCTCCGTCAGCCTTTGGAGTGCAGCTTCGAGGCTCTCTGGGTGCCCTTCACCTGGCGCTCCACATGCCCCCGCTGGTGTCTAGCCTCCCCCCCTACCCCTACCCCCTGGATGCTGTTCCAGGACTAGGTACTTTCTGAGGCAGGGCATTTCCTCTTGTTTTTGCAAAAGGAAGCAAAGCCTGCAACGGGATATCCTTTGCCACGCTTTCATGTTATCGGAGGGAGAGAGAAAACAAGACAGGCCCAGCATGTGAGGAATGGAGACCTGGCCGTTTGCAACAATCCGAGGGGAACCTGTAAACTCTTCATCATGGGCCATTCAGGGTCTTTTAGGAGTGAGGCGGGAGAGGCACGCGGGAGGTTTTGACCCGGGATAATCTTCCATGCTGAGAGGAGTTCCCGCTGACTCCCTTCCCAGGGCTCCAGCTTCTGTCCCTTCAGTGGCCAAGGGGTCCATCCTATGGCTCTGCCCCCACAGTCTGCTTCAAAACCGAGAATGGAGCTGGCCTCAGGAAGCAGGGAAGAGGAAACGCTCAAGTCCTGCAAATGTGGAAGATGGGACTGACCAGTCACCTCATACATGTTTACCCCTGGGAATGTGTGTGTGTGTGTGTGTGTGTGTGTGTGTGTGTGTGCGTGCATGCGTGCATAGGAAATGGCTAATCTCTTGGTCTCTCCATCCTCTCCTCTGATATTCTGACCACCTCCACTTTCCTTTCTGTCCTGAGTGAAGCAGGGTATGTGTGTGTGCATGCGTGCATGCGTGTGTGTGTATAGAAAATAGCCTTTGAGTTTGAGATCAAAGAGTCTAGGAACCTTTAGAGAAACCAGTAACCCTGTTCACGGTGGGACACCAGTTCAAGGTGCTCAGGTGGGAGTGGGCCAAGCAAGATGAAGGGTGGGGGTGGGGGCCACAGCAAGGTGGGAGTCCCATTGGTTTTTGTATATTAAGTGGGTTTGTGTACAGTCAGGAAACTGGAAGCTGTGTGGGTAGCTTGCCCACGGAGGTGTTAGGTGCTGAGAGTGCAAGAGAAGGCATGTGCTCAGGAAATATGAGCTTGAAAACCTAATCACTAAACTGCGCTCTCTTCCCGGAGAGAATGAGGGGAAGGGAGGAATCTGTGTATCTGATGAGGTCTCAGGCACCTTGAAAGTCACCGGTTAAGATGGAACCCCTAGCATGAATACATGTCCCAGGCTGCCTAGAACTGAGGGGTCCCCCAGGACTTATCCTGAAACTAGCTGGGTCAGACAATGACAGACAATGCAGGAGAAACGGCTGGGGTGTTGTGGAAGCCCCCTGGTGTACAGCCTTCCATTCCCAGTGCGTATTCAGCGAGAACGGCTAACGGACCTTCAGCTCACCAGCAGGCAGAACTAATCTGACCTTGGAATCTGTGTGGCCAGGCTGAGCGGCCCACAGGTTAATTGAGTTTTCCAGTTTTATGACTGCTTAGTGGACGGAGGCTGTGTGGTGGGGACGGAGCTCCTGCAGTTAGATCCGGGCTGTAGCCGGGTTCACTGACGGGTTTTAAAACTCTGAGGTGAAGGAGATTTTTATCTTCTTCTTCAGGAATGAATCAGTGGGCCAGCAAACACCAAGGACACTGTGCTAATTTAACTCGGCCTTGCTAGGGACACAGCAGGCGGGAGGCGGCTGGAGGGCAGGAGTGGGGTGGGAGAAGGTGAAGCTAGCTGCAGATGGGCAGAGCTCTCTGTGGCGAGGAGATGCCCAGTCCGCCCGACACACAGGGGAAGGGGGTGGGCCGCTGATGCCTTTGGGAGGGGATGATGAATGGAACACAGTCATCCTTCCACAGCACAGAAAGTCCTCTGATGTCCCCCAGTCCTGTCGAACCAGGACAGTTGGTTACCCCTGTGGAAGGACAAGGCCCAGGAATGATCAGTGGGACATTGTTTTGGGCCCAAGCATGTAGAGGTGATGGGAGTCTTTATGGGGGGGGGGTGCAAAGATGTTTTGGGAGATCAGCATTTAAATTATCTATCTATCTATCTATCTATCTATCTATCTATCTATCTATCTATCATCTATCCATCCACTCATCCATCCAGAATTACACACACACACACACATACACACACACACACACACACACACACACACACACACATCTGTGATGCCCAGAATAAAGCACGCAGACATATCTGCCTGCTGCCCTGCCTCCCTGGGAGATCCATTGTGGATGGGAACAGCTGGAGCTGGTCTGGCTCAGCTTCTCTCCCCGAGAACAGGGAATTGCTGGGAGGAACTGGTGCTGGGCTCTGCAAATTACAGAATCTTTCAACACTCTGTGGTTTCCCCCTAAGTTTCTTTTTGGTAAATTATCTGGCTACCTGTCTCTTTCACAGAGTGAGTGGGACAGCAGAGTCCAGAGTGGGGGTATGCCTTTTATCTTGTTTTTATGATCCAGAGGACAGGTTTGGGCAGCCTTGGGAAGCTTGACAGAGAGTGCCCAGCAGGCCTGCTCAATCCAGTCTCCCCCGGTTCCTAGGAAAAACATTTGCACACACCCAAGCAAGAACTATTCTCTTTTCCATGATGCAGAATAAGCAAGTGTCCTGTGACTTTTAAAAAGAAAACTTGGCTTTCCTCTCGGTCAGTTGAGAAGCACCGTAAAAGCAAGATCGGGTTGCTGTGCTTATGGCTGAATCCTAGAGCCTCGACCCGTGCCTGGCACACAGGCGCTCAACAGTGAGAATGAGCCAATGAGGCACGCAACAAGTACCTTTCTGAGTGAGGGCAGCGTACTGAAGGTCGCAGGGAAGTGGCTCTCAGACTTGACTGGCTGCAGAAGCATGGGAGGGAGCCTTAAATATCTCACTGTGCCCAGCTCAGACCTGTTGTGTAGCACTGTTCCAGGGGAGAAGCAAACCGACACCCATTCACCCCAAACAGGGAACCCACAACAGACCAAAGCGCAGATGCCGTCAAAGTCTAACTTGGTAAAGCCGATCAGTTCTATTGGAGTCACTTAAAGGAGTATAGGCGAGGGTGAGCTTACAGGGGCAGAAATGACTCCAAGAGCAAAGCTGGGAACCTGGAGCTCACTGCATAGTCTAGTCAGCTCAGTAGGTTGGAGATCATCCTTTGCACAGAGTTCAGGAGGAAGCTCAGCTGGTCTCCTCTTCCTTCAGGTAGCTCAGCTTGTCTGAGATTGTCTGTCTCTCCCTTGTCCTTATTGCTTGGACAAACCTGGGGAGGGAGGGCCCAGTAGATCTGGTGAGTTTCGCGGACTTCCTGGAGCTGTTGGGTTGTTTGCTTCCTTAGCTTGAGAGCCTCCCTGAAGGGTGGGGTGTTTCTCCTCTCCATGGACCGTCTGCTGTTTAACCTCTCTGTAGACATCAGTAGCTCAACAAGATTTCCTCCAAGATGGAAAGTTTTGATCTCGGAAGAAACCATACAGACTGCTCATACATATCAGAATCTTTAGACAGGACACCCAGGCGTCAGGATTTACAATTCTCTGGGTCACACCAGTGTGTAACCAAGGACACAGAGCCTCTGCGTGTGCTGTACATGTGTACACTTTTTGTCACCCTGAGTGAGGTTCCTGGTCCCGCAGGTATAAGGTTGCTTGAGTTCTTAATAATGAATAGGTTCAGCCTACCTTCCTGCTGAACCTAAACCTGCATTTTACTAAAGTCCTGGCCTGGAGACCACCCTGGGAGACTTTACAGGTTAGGATGGTACTGAGGCCCCATGTGGGTGTGGCCTTGAGGGCAGAGTAGCAGAAAGCAAGGCTGCACAGCAGACTGGGAAGTTTGGACGACTCAGTGAAAGGCTGTGGAGAGCCGTGAGAAAACCTTGAGTATACCATCACAGACACGTACGGGAAGAGTGGTTACTGGGGACGAGCCCTGGCGGTGGGACCCGGAGTCTCAGACTATGGCCTTCTCTTGCAGGTGCTGCTCCCAGCAGCCAGCTTGCTGCAACTCATGGACGTTCGGCAGAACTGCTGTGACTTTCTGCAGTCCCAGCTGCACCCCACTAACTGCCTGGGCATCCGCGCATTCGCAGACGTGCACACTTGCACCGACCTCCTGCAGCAGGCCAACGCCTACGCAGGTAAGGCCGGGCGGCCCACGTTTCCTCAGGGCTGGCCTCGTTTCCTCAGGGCTGGTGGGTTTGGTCACTCATCCTGTAGAGGACCCGCCGAGGTTTTGAGAAGTTGTTCCTATGGCAGAGCCTTGATGATTTGGTTAGGGAGACAAAGCACAGACAATTAACAGTACACAAGTTTCACTTGTTGCTGAATGGGATGTGGCTTATTTGTCTGTAGGAAATAGCTGGCAGAGAAATGTCTGAGGAGTCTTGGGAGTGTGTGTCAGAGAGAGAGAGAGAGAGAATATGAGTATTTGAATGTGGATGTGTGAATTTGTATGTGTGTGTATGAGTGTACATGAATTTGTGTGCATGTGTGCGTGTGTGTGCATGTGTGCATGTGTAGCATAAACTGAGCTTAGGGTTGAAATAGATCTTTGTGGTTTAAGACCAATTTCATTTGGTTAAATTGTTCTATGTAGATGATATTGGAAGTTAAATATGTTCTGGGCTCCTGGTGATTAACAGGTATCCTCTGTACACACTATTTTGCTTTCTACAGTCACTGATTTTTAATTATATTTGTGATTCAGCCCTGCAGAGGCCAGAGGATCACTACAAGTTCACAGCCAGTGTGGCCTACATGATAAAAACCCCATGTCAAAACCAAAACCAAAGCAAACATCAACCAACCCCCAAACGAGAATGAGATTGCAGACACCATGTTGGTGTCTCGCATTCTTTAACTCCAGCTCGAGGGATCTGATGCCCTCTTCTGGTCTCCTTGTGTACTTGCACCCACATGCACGTACCCACACACAGACACATAGTTAGACATAAATAAAACATCTAAACAAAAAGCTATTTCATGTGTTGGCTTCTTCCATTTACCTCTGAAAATTGTGAACATTGTTAATTTTAAGTTTGCTTTAGATTCTTGTGTTGACTTCTCCAGGAGAATAAGAACAGGCCTTCACAGACTTTCTGTCCCTCACACACACCACATTACCCACACTTCATCCTCTGTCTTCCTCCCAACGGAGCCACTCAGTTATCACAGTGAGGTGCTTTAACCAGAATAAATGTTCACAAACATCAGAAAGGCAGAAACCGTCTTATTCTTTAGTACGTGTGTGTGCAACCAGACGAGGCAGGACGAGCTTAGTATGTGTGTGCAACCAGACACATCAGGACGAACTTAGTATGTGTGTACAACCACACACAGCATGACGAGCCTCAGTCTGACATGTCTCCTGGGCAACACTGTCCCTTGGAGAGAGCTTGTCATCCTGGTATTTGGATGGAGTCTTGGGAGGCAGAAGAAATGAAAGTCACCAGGCAGGCAGTCCACCACAGTTAGCAGGATGCACACTCTCCCTCACTATTCACTGCAGCAAGTGGAAAGTTAACTAGGAAATGGTCTGGCCATTTTAATCACTAGGCCTGTGCACAGCGTCCTCCTTGCCTCTCAGTGAAAAGCTTTGTCTTGTCCCACACCCAGCTGACCACGGCCGGGTCTGTCCTGCTCTTCTGCTTTCTGTCTGGCCAGGACCTTGGAAATGAGTGGAGGCCCTGCTGTCTGCCCTGTGCTGCGTTAGCCCCAAGTCCATGAGACGACAAGTGTCCTGTTTGCTTTTGTTCTCTAACCAAACCCCTGGCACAGAGGCACACATGACCAATGGTCACAGACTGTGTTAGGACACACATGGCCAATGGTCACAGACTGTGTTCAGACACACATGACCAATGGTCACAGACTGTGGAGTCTCCATGTCCAGGCACACATGACCAATGGTCACAGACTGTGGAGTCTCCGTGTCCAGGCACACATGACCAATGGTCACAGACTGTGGAGTCTCTGTGTTCAGACACACATGACCAATGGTCACAGACTGTGGAGTCTCTGTGTTCAGACACACATGACCGATGGTCACAGACTGTGGAGTCTCCGTGTCCAGGCACACATGACCGATGGTCACAGACTGTGGAGTCTCTGTGTTCAGACACACATGACCAATGGTCACAGACTGTGGAGTCTCTGTGTTCAGACACACATGACCGATGGTCACAGACTGTGGAGTCTCCGTGTCCAGGCACACATGACCGATGGTCACAGATTGTGGAGTCTCCGTGTTCAGGCACACATGACCGATGGTCACAGACTGTGGAGTCTCCGTGTCCAGGCACACATGACCGATGGTCACAGACTGTGGAGTCTCTGTGTTCAGACACACATGACCAATGGTCACAGACTGTGGAGTCTCTGTGTTCAGACACACATGACCGATGGTCACAGACTGTGGAGTCTCCGTGTCCAGGCACACATGACCGATGGTCACAGACTGTGGAGTCTCCGTGTCCAGGCACACATGACCGATGGTCACAGACTGTGGAGTCTCCGTGTCCAGGCACACATGACCGATGGTGAAAATGACCTTGAAGCTGACCTTTGTGAAGGACTTCTCTGGTAGCCCCAGTTCTCACTCCTGTTGGCCCATGTTGTCTGTGAGCCCGAACACCCCTGCTTGCCCTCTGTCCGCCTGTGCTCTCCTTTCAGGGTGCCTTTTCTCTCCTAGCAAGGGTCCCCGAGTGGAAGAGGCCACCTTCCCGAATGATGTTGTTCAGGTTTTGCTTAGCAGGAGCCGGGCCGGAAGGCATGTGTGTGCGTGGGATCCCACTGTCCCACTCGTCAGTGTGGCAAAGGGTAGGACACTGAGCTGCTTGGGCTCTCTTTCCCTCTTCCTTGTCTCTTTCACCATCTTCTGCTAGCCCACCTAGCATGCACATGAATACAAGCCCTGTGTTTCCTTCATCCCCCTTTTCCCTGTCTGATGGGAGGATGGAGACGGTGCATCCATCGTGCTGGTGCTCCCTGGTCCTGATGCTGTCAAAGTGATGCCTGGCACATGCGTGTCTGTCCGTAAGTAGCCTAGGGAACTTCCGTTGCTAGTATTTATTGGACTTTTGCTTTGGTCCCCTCCTACGCTAAGCACTCCATGAGCATCCTGGGGGAAGGTCTACAGCAGCTGAGGAAACCAAAGCCCCAAGAGGTGAGATGGTTTGAGGGCATGCGGCTAGTGAGGGCAGCGGCAGAATTCAAACCCAGAGCTGTCCACAGCTTCCAGTTTGCAGATCAGGGTAGCTCCGTGAGCCACCAGGGAGGAATGCAGGTAGCTGGAGTGGGCCTATTCTGTCGAAATAGTGCTTGGTAGCCCGTGTCTCAGAGTCACCAAATTCCAGCATCAGACAGTGTAGACAGACAGGCAGACAGACAGACAGCTGATGCTAGTACAGAGTTACAGCCATCTTGGGCTTGGGGAAATGCAATATGAATGTCTTCTTCTCTTTCTGGCGGCTCCATATCCTCCCAGCCACACAGAGATTGTCCCCTCATGGCACAAGCAACCATTCCTATGTTCTGTGGCTCAGCATGATGACAGACACGGATCTCCTTTCTGGGGTGCAGGCCTGTGACTATCTTCCAGATGGCCTTCTGAGCAGCTGTAGCTTCTTACAACAGGGAGGTCGCGTTTTCCAGGTGTAGATAATGCAGCTGTGAAAAGCACAATGGAAAGACAGGAGAAGGGCAGGAAGGCTGCCACGCTTAGAGAGGGGTGAGAAGGATGGCTGTGTCTGTCCTCTTCGACTGGTGTGGGCCTGCTTCATCTCCTTGATCTTTCATCTCTGGCTTCAGATGGGGCTTGGTATCCCTGCTTCTCCAGCCAGGCCTTTCGCTTTTCTTTGTTCCACTGTGAATTTGGATGCGTGGTGACTCCTAGGGTCACATACTAGGAACTGTGTCGGGCTATGGTTATGTGCCTTCTAGAAAGGAATCTGCCTTGCATTACGAGATATTTCCAAGCCAGCATTTCTAGGAAACCCTTTGGGTCAGATCCAGGAGTCAACGCTTGGGGCTGAGCGACTCTGGCCTGTCTCCTCTGTGGAGGGGATGATACACTGAACTGTTTTCAGGATCGTGGGGGATGAGGGGCAGGAGATGTCCTGTAGCTGACACCCCTGAGACCGTGCTCTGGGTCCCCCATGACAGACCCATCTGCTGCCCTGAGGGAGCCCCAGAGTCAGTTCCGGGCTGTAAACACTAGAACCATGGCTTCTGACTGCTGGTTTTCAAACCGTATGCACGCTGGGGAAGGGGATCAGTTCATGGCTCCTGAGTTTGGGTTTTTTAAAATTTGGAAGCACAGGCAGGTAGGTCTGTGGTCCCTCTTCTCCCCTCCCCAGTCTTTAGCCAGCTGGGCTCTGCGTTCATTCGTCTGCTGCCCCCAGCTTGTCCCTAAACTCTTGCTTTTACAACAAATGCTGTGTTTTCCCCCAACACTTTGCTCCTATTTCAGCTTTAATATAAAACCCGTCGCCGATCGTTCCGGGAAAACAGACTGGTTGAAAGACCATGAGGAGGAATGGTTCCATCAGAGGGAGGCCCAGGCAGGGCCTTCGTGTGCTCCTCTTGGATCCAGCAGGATCTCTTTCTTTGGACATATATATTTCACGGGCTGGAGAGAGGGCTCAGTGATTAAAGAGCACTGGCTGCCCTTCCGGAAGACCCAGGTTCTGTTACCGGCACCCACATGGTGACTCTCAGCCACCTCTAACTCCAGTTCCGGGGTTCTGATGCCACCTTCTCTTTGACTTTTAGGGGTACGAGGCAGTTATGTGGTGCATTGACATACATGCTGGCAAATACTCATGCACATAAAAAATATTCCCAAGGTTATAAACCTTAGTAGGTTCTGGCAGCTTCCCATATCCACAGTTATATTTCCATACCACTGCACTAAACTTGTTTAGATATATACTACTATATGATCAGGTTATCTTCCTGTCTGCCCATAAGTGAAGGTATGAAAGCTCGCCAGTCTCCTGCCTTCTCTGAAGGGGTCAGAGGAGAATATTGAGTATTGCTATAGGACGTAAGAATATGTGTTTTAATGGACACTGATGCATTCTGCACACACTGTGCTTTAACTTTTAACATCTTATTTTTTATGTGTTTGGATGTATGT